AGTATTTCCCGTTATTTAAAGGCTACAATATATTTCAGCAAGATTTACTAAAGTAGGTTGTGATCAGTCACCAGGGACCTTCATGCTTCTGCTTTCTTGTTGGGCTTGGAAGTTGGGATTTACACAGCCAGTGGAGCAAGGCCTTTCCCACCACTTCCTGTGAGCAGCACGTTGTTGTTCCAAAAGTGGCACTGTGGCCTGTGCTGATTGGCAGCTGTTAGGGTCGCATCCACTTGGCGTGAGAAACACTGTGCTCTGAAAATTGTATTTCACCGTGTTCCCACAGATGCTGCTGGAATAATGGCCTAATGGAACAACACGAAATATGCTCAAGCACGCTTTTGACATTTTTCATATGTGATGATATGTCCTAATTGAAACTTACTAAATTATGTGTTTTCCTCTAACTGTCATGAAAGCATACCAAACTGTCTTCTGTGCATCACTGACTTAGAAATATAAGAGACATAGTCTTTTTGATTATCAGCTCTGATTTAAAGTTAGCTTTGAAAATAGATTTTATCCTCTGAAGTCTAATGAGTTCTCCCCTCATGACTTACAGAGCCAGTAGTAGGTTTAAACTTGAAAGTTTATGTAAAACTTTTTTAAAATTTTTAAATTACATTGTTGTAGGGAATAGGGTTATAGCTTACACACACACACACACACACACACACACACACACAGAGTTTTTTCCCCTTTCTTTTAAAGTCAAAGAATAAATACCTTCAGAAATCTTCAAAGAAAATCTTACATTTTATTTTTCTGTGTGTGGCATCCTTGTACAACATACTGTAATTATTTTCTTCAATGCTTTTTCTTGTGAAACCCAATGCATTTTAGAAAAATGTAAAAAAGCAGAAATGGTCCTACCTGTTTATTACAGAGTGCCATCTAGACCAAGAAATAAAAATAAAATCAAGTGAGTTTACCCCAAACCTCCACTGTGGCCTCCTGGCCTCTGTTCCTTCTCTCCTCGCCCCTCGAGTTAATCACAGTGTTTTCCTTCATGACAATCATTTTCTTGCTTTCCTCATCGTTTTACCACCTGTCCTGCCGCTGGGACACCACAGTTTAGTGCCTAGTTGTTTTTGTTGTGGTTTTGGTTTTGGTTTTTGAAACTCACAGAAATGCAATTTTGCTGTTAAATAACCTTTTGGGTCCAACATTTCTCACTCCGTTATATTTGCAAATGTTACAGTGGTTTTCATTTCTGTATAATATACCATTATATGAACCCACTATAGACTATCCACTCTACTGTCTGGATCCACTACGAGTGATACTGGTCTGGAGATTCTTCCATACCTCCTGATAAATGCAGCACATACTTCTGATGAGTATGTATGTGGGAGTGAGTGGAATTGCCAGACCATAGGGTATATTTTTAACATTTTTAAAAGTAGAATCCTTTACACTCCCACCAGAGGGATATGATCATTCCCATCTCTGTCCTCCTCATACTTAGCCCATCTGCTTGTTGTGTTACCTCCTGGTTTTAATTTCCATTTCTCTGATTACTAACGAAGTTAGGCAAATGCAGAGAAGCATGTTGAGATTCTTACTGGAATTGCATTTAATCTATAGATCAATATGGAGAAAATGTTAAAAAACTGAGCCTTCTAATATATTAACATAGTTGATTTAGATAATATTCTACAATTTCTATTAGTAATGTTTATTGTTTTGTATATACAGGCCTTACATGTTATTTGTCTCATTCATTCCCAGGTATTTTATATATTTTATTTTATATTTTTATGTTATAATTGCTACTTTTAATTTTATTTTCAGGGGCTGGGGATTTAGCTCAGCGGCAAAGCGCCTGCCTGGCAAGCGCAAGGTCGTGAGTTTGGTTCCTGTTACCGAAGAAAAAAACAAAAACAAAAACAAAAACATTTTATTTTCAAATTTATTGCTGATAAGTAGCAACATGCAGACTAAATTTTTACCTTTGTGTTCAGCTATAATTCTGCAGGTTTGTTTAGATTTCCTGTATATGTACTTAAGTAAGCTGGACATGAGGATAATTTTATCTGCTCCCCTTCCAAATTATGATACTTTTTGTAATCTTTGTATTAGCCCACGTTTCAAGGGCATAACGCTCACATTCCTTGTGAGTGGGCACGTGTATGTGGCACATCTGACTTCCTCTTTCATCCCTCCCCCTCTCCTCTCCTCATGCCCCTCTCTCTGCCCTCCATTTCTTGACCCCCTTCCCATTTGAGGAAGATCTGTCTTCTTTTTATTATCTCTCTTTTATTTTGTTCTTTATTTATAATTTGAGTTTCTCATATAAGAGGAAGCGTGCAATATTTAAACTTCTGTGTCTGTTTTATTTCACTTAATGCTAAGGTCTCAAGGTGCACCCATTTCTGCACAAATTACACATTTGTCTTTATGGCACAGTAGTACTGTGCTGTATGTAAATACCACATTTTCTTTAACCAGTCATCTGTTGAAAGACATACAGGTTGCTTCCAAGATTTTTCTATTATGAACTGTGCTGCTATAAATATGGATATGCATGTATCTTTATAATATGATGTCTTTAACTCTTTTGGGATTTCTACTGTAATGTTTTGAGGAAACTCCGTACTGATTTGCACAGTTGTTATACTAGTTCACATTCCTACCAACAGTGTAGATGTTTCTTTTTTACCCACAGTGTTGCCAGCATTTGTTATTATTTGATTTCTTGATGATAGCCATTCTTTCTGGGGTGAGATGGAATCTCATTGTTGTTTTAATGTACATTTCTCTAATGGCCAGTGATGCCCAGAATTTCATGTATTGATTGGCCATTTGTGCCTCCTCTTCTGTGAAGTGTCTTCACTTCACTTGGCAATTTTTTGACTGGATCTTTTATTTGGGAGGAGGTGATTTTTTTGAATTCTTTATATATTGTAGATAGTAGTTGTCTGTCTTAGGAATACTGGCAAAAATCTTTTCCCATTCTATAGGTTGTCTTCCTTCTGTTTGTTGTTTCTTTTGCTGTACAGAATCCTTTTAATTTGATGTGACCGCATTTGTTGATTTTTGGAACTATATCCTGTGCAACCATACTCACAAAGTCTTTGCCTATGCTATGACTTTAGGAGTTTTACCTGTTTTATCTTTCAGCAGGTATTTTATTTCATTTTATTGCCTTTAGTAAGACTAGGATCTTCACTGGTTGGAATTTCCACTACAGGAAGACCAGCAGCTGTAATAGGTGGCTGTTTCAAAGAAGAAACATTAAAATTTTTTCTGTTAATTGTGGTGTTACATGTTGCTGGATTTAAGTTGCTAAGAGTTTATATCAGGTTTTTTGAATCTAGGTTTATAAATGACAAAATCCTATAATTTTCTTTTTTTGTAATATCCTATTAAACTTCAATTTTAAGATTTTGCTAGGTTCTTAAAGGAAATGGAGGAGTGTTTCCTCTTTACTATCTAAAAGAATTTGTGAAAGACCAGCAAAATTAGTTAGAGTTCAGTAGTGGGGAGCCAGGGATGTAGCTCAGTGGTGCAGCATCTGCCTGGCGAGTGTGAGGTCCTGAGTTCAAATCCCAGTACCAAAAAAAGAACACTAATGAAGCCATCTGAGTTAACATTTTTATTTTTGTTTTGTGTGTTTATTTTGAGAGGATTTTTAATTACAAGTTCAGTTTCTTCAGTAAAACTGTTCAGATAGTTTATTTCTTCTAGTGTCCCTTTTGTTGGCTGTAGTTTTCTAGAAATATGCCCCTCTCATCCAAATTTCAGATTTATTGGAAGAAAGTCATTCATATGAACCTCATTTGTTTATCATCCATGGAAGACGTGGTGATATCTCAATTTTCATTTCTGATTCTTGTTATTTGTGCCTACTCTCTTTCTCTCTTTCTCCCTCCTTCTCTCTCTCTTTTTTCTGAATAAGGCTCTTTGAAGATTTACCCATTTTATTAGTCTTCTCAGATATCTTATTTTTGTTATCACTTGGTTACCCATGGGTTATTTAGAAATCTATTCTTAATACTTGTATATAAGGATTTTATTGTTCTCTAGAAAATAGTTTGGATTTCTAGGTGACAAAAACCATTATGAATCATTATAATCTTTTGAAATTGTTATTTGCTTTATTTTTATAAAAGTTCTCCTGTGTGTTTAGGAAATTATATGTTCTGTAGTTATTGATTGTAGTATTCTGCATGCTACCATTAGGTCAGTTTACTTATTGTGATATTTAGATCTGCATCCTTACTCTGTCAGGTCATTGGTCAGTTACTGAGAGAAGTGTGCTAATGCCCCTACTGATAATAGTTTTCTTTATTTATCTTTGTAGTTATGGCAATTTTTGCTTTCTATCTTTTGAGCCCATGCTACAAAATGCATGTAAATTTGGAATTATGTTATCTTCCTAGCACATTGATGCTTCATTATGATTAAGTGTGCTTCTTTATCTCTAGTAATGACCATTGCCTTAAGGCCCACCATGACTGATACTAGTGTAGCTACACTGGTTTTTCGTGGTTATTATATGCATGGTAAATTTTAGCATCCTAAATTTTCTGCATCTATGCATTTTCGATGTTGGCTTATAAAATAGTTTGTTTTTTTCTCTTGCTCAGAGTGTACCTATCTTTGTCTTTAAAGCCATAGTGAGGACATGTGATGTAATTGAATCTAAATTGGTATCAATTTAGATAACTTTTTAGAGAACAATTTTTCCCATTCAGAAAAGAGTTTAGTAATATCTATAAGTTTCAGAAATTTATCTTCCTGGTTTGCATATAAATATGCAGGAACTGATGAAGCTTTACCATCTTCTGTTACTTCTCTGGCTGCTGTTCAAGGAAGAGATATCCAGGGACTGAAATATCTGAGAACAGTATTTCTTATCTGGTGTTTGGAGAGTCTGGTTTGCAAGGCATCTTCATCGTGATTTGCCTAATTCCAATGAGCACAGCTTTAACTAAGTATCTCTTAATATGTCTCCTTTTGCACAACACTGTGAAAATACTCTTTCTGGTTTGCAGGGCTGTGACTCCCAAGTGAGCGTGTCAGAGATGTCCTGCACCGAGAGCGCATCCTCTTGTCAGTCTCTAGAACATGGCTCGGTTCCCGAGATTCTCATTGGTTTGCTTTACAACGCCACCACAGGAAGATTATCAGCAGAAGTGATAAAAGGCAGCCACTTCAAAAACCTGGCTGCAAACAGACCACCCAGTGAGTGCAAGCATGTTTTAAATCGAATGCTTTCTATACGTAGGGGACTTTCAGCATTAGGGGTTTCAGTCCTATCATTGTAGTCTTAGCCAATCAAATTCAAGTGGTAAATCATCAGCTAATCTGTTTCATGTTTTCTATTTCCAGCCTTTTGGGAAGTAGAAAATTTTGAAATTCAAAATATTAATTGTATGGTGAGAGGAATTTTAATTTTTTATAGTGCTTGCAGAATAAATTATTCCTATCATAGTTACTTCCTTTTAATGCCAGAAAAAGTTTTTTAAATAAGTAATGATCACAAATATGAACGTGTATAACTATTATTGTTAACTGAAGATTAATGCTGTGTTCTGTCTGCATGCAGTGCTATGAACTAATGTGTTTACTTCACTATTTCCTTTAACAATTTAGAAGAAATTGCTTCTTCACATTTTTTTTTCTCCTTTAAAAATATAGGGGCTTGGGGTAAAGCACAGTGAGAGAGCACATGCTTCATATGCATGAGACCCTGCTTTGATCCCAGCACTACAAAAAGATAATTTTTTTTAAAAAAAATAAGTTCATAACTTAGTACTGCAGCAGAGTCACAGAATAAGGAAGGGTTCGGGAGTCACATGTGGACTGAGGGCAGAGCCAAGCAGCTCCTGCACTGTCCACCGCTCTCGCCTTCCTCCTCAGCCTCCTCTTGGTTCAGATGCAGAGTAGGTCCTTGGAGTAGAGAAGTCACCCCCCACTGTAGCTCTGAAATTGTTGATATCTGTAAGTGGTAAACTAGGGAGAAAGCAGCATCTCTGTGCCTTTGTGAAATAAAACTGTTAATGCCCTGACCTAAAAACCTGAAAGGAAACCTTGAATAATAGCACTACCACACAGATTCCCAGACTTGTTTTATTCACTCTTTTAACTCCAGGAATCAGGCAGCTACTAAAGGAGGGAAAACTTTGTCTACCCTTAAATTAAATGGACTTTGCTTCTAAGTGTCATAAAAATTTATTATTCAATGGAGGTGAAAAATCATAAAAATATATTTGGTTTATACCAAGTAATGTTGGGAAGCTTGCTTCTTACATATATATCATAGAACGCACCTACCCCTGAATTAAAAGTCTGAAGGCCAAAGTACTTTCATATTTCTACTCTTAGACAAATGATCTCAGTCTATTCTTTATTGGTAAAGTTAAGGTCATGTCTTACACAGGGTGATCAGACTGAGATCTGACAAAGATGCACAGAAGGCAGAATTATTATTAATGCACTTTTTCATTTCAAAAGGAAAATGCAGTGGGAGGAAAAAAGCCATTCCTAGAATAAACAGACTAGGAAGTGGGACTTGACTATCTTCATACACACTGAGCAGAGCCCAAGAGATAACCTGTGAGAGAAAGATTTGCACATGAAGATAGCCATGCTGAGGTGTGGCCATAGCAGGAGTGCCCTGGCCTGAGACACCTGATGCAAAGATGTCAAGATGTCGAGCACTGCCCCACATAAAGCATCACTCAGGTCACCTTGAGCCATGGCCATCACTTCGCTACTCAGGCCTTAGCTAGTAGCTCAGTAATTTTTTTGGACAACAACTTTATTGATGATGTTAAAGAGTTGCAGAATAAAATGAAACTCTGATTAAATAGAGAAACAGGAATCAGAACTGAAAAGGAACAAGGGCAAATTTGGGTAGTAAGTAACATAGGAAAAATTATCACCCAAGCACAGTTAGTCTTTCCTATGAGATTTGGTCACAGCAATTGCCATTGTTTTAGATTAGATCTTCCTTATAAGATTGATCAATAATGCTAGAAAATAACTAGTAAGTCAATTTTTAAATGATTATATGAAGGTAGGATATTTATATAGTAAAATGCAAGACAATTTCACTAGTTGGTTCTAAACTGTGTATATTACATTAAGATTGTAGCCCTTCAGATATATCTAGAGTCTAGGACTTGAATGTGTTATAAATGGAATAATCCCAGTTGCATCCAAAGAAACAATAGCAACATTCAAGAGCAAAAATTGTGATAGTTGTATTTTATTTTGCATAACCTAATTTCATACTACATTGGGAGTAATAAAATTATTTGAAATATTAAATATTGTGTGGATGAACTTAAAACTGAGAATAACGATGATGATGACCTGATAATGACTTTTATTCAGTCTTTTATATCTGATAATTTGCATGATTCTATGTTCAATGTGCTTTAGACCAAGAGGGTATCATTATAAAGGTGTCCCCCTTTAAAACAATGTAATTTTTAAGATTACACAATGACTTAAAATTTTTCATTCCATGAAATTTACCCAACAACCCTTTGTTCAACCCTCTACCTGAAGTAAAATGCTAAAGTTCTGTGTTTTTCCACTCCAGTGAACAGTGTTTCCTCTTTAATTCTGACCTTTGACCCTCTCTCACCCAACGATTGACATCTGGTCATTATTTCTTTTACTGCTTTCCACCCCCTGTTGTCAGATGGACTGTTCTGTTGTCTAAAACACTTGATAGGTGGACAGGTTTATATAATACGAGGTGAGTTCCTGTAGAGGCTAATTGGATGTTGTCTTTTCATGCAAAAACAAAATACCCTAAAACTTGCCAGCAGTGAAGCTGTCCACCATGTTGGTTTTTAAAAAAATGCACATTTATTATCTGTGGTACTTTAAATAAAACTAACTAAGAATTTATCTCTGATTATGGATGATGGTATTCAGAGTATCTATAAAATAAGCAAAACTTTTTGAAATGAAATTTTTTATTTTTCCATCTGTATTTTGATTTATGCAGCAGAAACATTCTATGAGAAACATGGCAATTATCTTTAAAATTAATTGAAATCTGGATATGAAGTACACATGATGGATCAACATGCTGAAGATCATTTGCATGAGTCTGTTTAAGAACTCAAAAGCACAATCTTGTAAAGAATGGATTTATCTCCCATAATATAATCAGTCAATGAAATGTTATGTTTCACTTTGTACACTAAACATCACATCAATTTCTTTTCTAACTCATAAAAGTAGTTAAGATGTCATACTTAAAAATTCACATTAAATTGTGCCTCAAAGAAACCCTACAGTGTTTATTTGAACTACCCCCAAAAAGCACATTAAATGTACTCTTGCATGAAACCAGGAGAAAGTTTTACTTGGTTTGCTAAACTTGGCTTCATTTTAGCCCTTAAGTGTTTTAAAAATATAGTTAAAAACCACATCCATGCAGAGATTTTTTTGACATTTCATCCTAAACTGTTTTGATGTCATCTTTGCATTCTTGTCTCTCTCTTCTCTTTACCATTTGCCTTCATTTCTATTTGTTTGTTTACTCTTATTCTCTGAAAACACAGTGGAATGCTTTCCAGTGTTGTGGCTAACTGAGCTTGCTAAGTGTTAATGAATGCTATGATGTCCTGCTGGTGGAGCTAACGGGGGATGGTGATGGCAGGGGAGGTCACGGGGGGAAGGGGGGGCAGTGGGTGGCGGGTGGAGGAAGGGCTATAAGGTACGCCTTTAAATTCTATCACGTAGAAGTAGGGAGAGTAAGATGTTATTACTCCCAAGATATTTTTGGCCTACTTAGCATTCTCTGTACTTGTCACATTTTATAAGCATGTACATCAAAATGGAATTGATTAAATTTCCATTAAACATTGTATAGACCATATCCTTATGAGTGTAAACACTTAATATTCCCAGCACTTACTATGAGAAAATTGTTTTGAGTTTGTTTCAAATGATATTTGTGATATGTTGGTTTTTTTCCCTTTAGATACATATGTTAAGTTAACGCTGCTGAATTCCATGGGTCAAGAAATGTCCAAATGCAAGACATCCATCCGCAGAGGGCAGCCGAATCCAGTGTACAAGGAAACTTTTGTGTTCCAAGTGGCCCTTTTTCAGCTGTCTGATGTGACACTTATCCTGTCTGTGTATAACAAACGCAGCATGAAAAGAAAAGAGATGATAGGATGGATTTCTCTAGGTCTGAACAGTTCTGGGGAAGAGGAACTCAGTCACTGGACTGAAATGAAGGAGTCTAAAGGACAGCAAGTCTGCAGATGGCATGCATTACTGGAGTCATGACAGCTGGGACGGGAAGCCAGGCCACCCCAGGCAGCACCATCAGCAGTTGCAACGCTGCTGTGTTCACCTGGTCACCCGTAGAAGAGCTTGTTCTTTGAAGAGTCAAATCCAACATTCTACCAAATGCTTTAAATTCCACGGAAATAACATCAACTGCTGGCGTGAATGAATGGCGTGGGTGTGGTGGAGTTTGTCTAACAAACTGAGAAACGTACATTATTGCTGTTGTACTAACAGTCCTCTGGAGATTTAATAACATACTTTTGATTTGAAGTTACTTTTACTTTAGCAAAAAAAGCCAGCAATTTCATGGGCGGTTATGTGATTTTAGTTATAACACTGTTTTAGTATCACTCTTCATAGAATCCGTAAAACATATTTTGACTGGCAGGTCCCTGGTGTTTATAGTGGAAAGGAGGTCACCATCTATCTAATGGGGAAGGGTTTTGACCACATTGAAAATAGTTTTTATTTCTGATAAATTCATTCTGTGTCCTTAGTTTCATTGTGTCTCAGTTCTTTTCCATAGTGCTAAATCTAAATGGAAGCAAGCATTCATTTTCATAAAGGAATTTTTAAGGTTTTTTCTTTAAGTTTATTTCTTCCTTTGCTTCTGCTTTTCTTCAAAGAGACCAAGTCAAGTCCTGGTCCCTTGCAAACCTTTTGGACAGGTTGTACTGTAGAACTATGTAACTTTCTGTTGAAAGCACTTCCTGTATACTTGTATTCCAATATAGGAAGCCAGTAGGGCAGTACTTTGATTTAGAATGTCTTCCATGACTGACTCTTTACAATTGTAGTAATATGGGAAAAAAAATTTTAACAAACTGGAAAATACAGTAGATAAGCTATTGAAAATTGAAAAAATTCAAGTTAAAGAAAACTTTATCTGGTCTGTGTATTTAGTAACCAACACTGTATAATCCAAATAAGAAGCTCTTCTGTCTCTAAATCTTCACTAAATTGAAGAATTTATATTGTGATATTAAGACTATCCAGCTCTCAGTCTGATTCAGAAAATCAAGTTAGAAACAGTTCTGAGATTCCTTATGAAGTTTCCAGTGATTTGTGACTAGATTTTATGAACTTTACAGATAATATTCTTTAATGTGATGTCATCCTGTGCCTTTCATGTACGTGAAATTTGCTCATACAGCTTAGAAGTTGTATTTGCAAAATTAGGCCTTCGATTTTTATAAATGTAAAGATTCCTCAGAACAATGTCACAAGACCTTTAGTTCCTCTAAAGTATGCAATTGTATAATGTACAAATTTTTTTTAAATGGCAAGGCAGTTTCATTTGTTATTTTTATATTTAGGAACTAATTAATCTGGAATATTATAAGCTACTTTCTTTTAATTTTGCTTCTTACCTGTTATATAATTTTATGCACATACTTTATTAAATTGAGTATGTTTTATATGTATGAAAAACATTTTCTTTTTCTCATTTTGAGTTAAACTAGACAAAAATTCTCTACTTACCAATTAGTAAAAAGTAATATATCATTTTTCCTAGTCCCGTTTAAGTACTATATATTTTTGCAAGCTAGAACTTGTTATTGTCATAATAACAAAACCCTGCATATTCACTTAGCTGTACTGAAAGGCCTTAAAAGAATCCAAAAGACCATTAACTCCTATAGTTTTTAGTTTAACAAAAGGCAGTTCTGTGGCTTTTTTTTTTTTTTTTTTTGGTTTTTGTCCGGTACCGGGAACCAAACTCACGACCTTGCGCTTGCCAAGCAGGCGCTTTGCCACTGAGCTAAATCCCCAGCCCCAGTTCTGTGTTTTCATACTCACGAATTATCAGGAAAAAATGCAAATGGGCACCCTGAACCTTAAGAATGTATGCTGCAGGATTGTATTAATGGGAAATTAATTCTTAATTGTTTTATCAATGAGACTTTTCTAGGTTTTTTTATTAATGAGTTAAGTTACAGAGTTAGAGCATGAATTGAATGATAAAATACCTCACTTAAGTATTAAGAGGGGATGTATATTTTACTGGAAAATTGGATTTAGGCATTTCATGATAGTTGCCTTTCCTGTCTTTAGAACAACTGTCTCCATTGCTAACAGCTGGTATCTTCCTAATAAAAAGAATTACCAGTCTTATATGTAGCTCTGACAAAGCTTAATCAAGTACATTATTAAGACCAGGTTGGTGCTTTCACCTTCAGTGAGAAAAAGACTTAACTGTTATTTGTTATATCTGCCTTTCTTCAGACTATGCCTAGAACTTTATGTGATTTGATATTTCCTTAGGGGTTTATCTGATGTGAGCATGAAATCTTACATGGCCTAAAAAATCAACTTTTAAAATAATTTCAGAGAACATCCTCCTTCCACCCAACCCTGAAGACCTCAAAGATCATAAATCTTCTGTGTATATGCTTCTGTTGTCACACACATACCTACATTTCACACACAAACGTGTATATATTATATATATATATAATATGTATATCCATCTCCATCCATGTATATGATAGGGATATGTGAAGGCTTTTCAGGTAACTAAATAGAAAAACATTTGTTCAGTTTATGGGTCGTGTTTCTCCTATCATATGATTACCAGATATTACATTTGCTTTTGGGTGCTATTTCCTCCATACACAGCAAAATATACATCTTTTCTTTTCCCCTTGTGGATTGACACAACTTAGAATAATTACTACCAAAAAGTCATCCTTTTTATTTTTAGAAAAAGATTAAATAGTGTTCAGGAGACCCGCTCCACTGTCCTTGATCTAGTATAAGACAATGCTGATGTTTGTTGTGTGCTTGAATTCACATGAAAGCTTAAAGACAAAACCTTATAGCTTAGTAATTCTGCCAAATAGAGGCTGACTGGGCAGCAGGTGTTGACTCAGAAACTTGAGAAAGACAGCTCACTTTCTCATTGTTCTTCTAAAGTCCCCTAAGTTTTATAATCATTTGTGGGGGTTCCTGTGCCTGGAATTAGACCCTCCCAAATGAGCTGCAGAGTGTAGTTGCGTATTACTGCCCAGGAAACAGAGTGGATTTTAAATCAGTAAGAAAGTTTTTTTAGTGTAATATCATCCTACCTTGCAGAAGTTTGCTTTGTAATCTTGTCCGCAAGTAACATCCACATTTTGTTAGAGATCTATGTGCATGTTATCTTACTATGCACTCAGTGATTTCTCAGCAGTGTTGTATCTACTGACAAAAAATAGTAAATTGGACCACAGCTTAAAAAAGAGAAGCTAATGAAAAATGTCTACTACCCTGATTAATCTACACATTTTAACTTCAGGCCTAGAAGGACAGCATTAGCCAGCCTGTGCAGATGCCTAGGGCTGTATATTAAACCACTGGCTTCATTTCATAGATCAAGGGAACCCAGCACCAGTAGGGGCAGAGGGAACAGAATGGAGGGTATTCTCCAGAGTGAAGGTCGGTGGGGAGACCAAATGATAGCACAGTGAGATCATTTCAAGTGAGCTGAAAAATAGAGGGGCTTTTCAAAATATAAATTTTGGATGGCATAAGGACAGAAATGGCCAACAAATTTTTTAAGGCTCCTGTTCAGATATGAATAGAAATACAAGTCTGTTCACATAAAATTACAGTTTACCTACATAGATAAGACAGTTTATAGGGAAATTCACATGGATAGTTATTAGTTACAAGCTTCCTTTCTTATTTTCTTTCCTGTTTTTTTTATTTTCTTATTTTCTTTCTATTTTTTTCCCCACTGGCCCTAGTTCACCTGTGGCCTGCATTAGAATTAGTCACGTCATCAGTATCATTATCATGAACCAAACTTGTTTTTGAGCACAAGCTTAAGCATACTTCAGAGCATTATCCAAAGCAGCTTTTAAAATGTCATCTGTGCCCTTCAAAATGTATAACAAGGATGATGTAACAGCTATCACTTACTGAAGACCTAGGATAATAATTTATGATTTTGATTCCCACAGTACTTCTATGAGGTATTATCAATATTTATCCATGAAGAAACTGCAGTAGAGGTCAGAAGGACTTTTCTTAGATCATCTACCAAGTAACTTGCAGAACTGGGATGAGAACCCAAGTCTACATGATTCTGAAACCCAGACTGCACATATTACAGTGGGGAAAAAAAGGAACAACATTTATTTTATCAATAACTGAATATCAGAGAGAGAGAAGCAGAGGTGAGGATTTTTTTTCTTCTCAGAACACAAATAGTACTTTGTGTCACACTTGGTAACAATTTTTATTGTGGGATATATTTATATTCTGAGGTATATTAATCAGTTTGTTCTACCTTTTTTTTTTATCATTTTTGAGAACACAAGGTATTTTAATTATAGCTGGCTATCTCTGCCAGGTAGACATCTGTGTCTCCTGGGCTGCATTGCACCCTGTGGGCAGCAAGGAGAGAGACTGGCCTCCCTCTGTACTACTTACAGCTCACATCTCTGTTAGGGTTCACTGAGATTCATCAGGGGTTGCAGCCACGTTTAGTACGTGAAACTCTTTTCCCTGTGTAGTAGTAGATGCCTCATACTGCTCTCTGCATGTGCCCCTCTGCTCACAGGAAGCACATAGTGTTGAACTAAATGCTTTATGGAAGAAATCTGTAATACTATTAGTTCCACTGTGTATGAATCTTGTTTTATGCCTGGGTTTCTTTTTCCTTCATTTAATACATATTTATAAGAACACCAGCTATGTACCATGTGTTCTAGGGACTGCAGATGTGGAAAGGCTAAATTGGATAAAGTCTTTGCCCATGTGAGGCTTGTGCTCTAAGGCAGGGAGGAGACACAGAATGGTGTGATTCCACTGTAATGTAACAAGGTGTTAAGGCAGAGGTGTGCACAGGGCACTGCTGAGTTCATTAGAAAATTACAACTGGAATTCAGAAAAATCTTTCTGGAGAAAAGAACACCTGGGCTGGGACTTAACTAATGAATATGGGTTAGACTCCCATCAAACTGCAGGACAACATACAAAATAGTAGTTCCCACAGAAGGGTAAGTTTGAGAATTATTTTAAGTGCTTGATTCATATTCCAAAACTCCACCTGCAAAGATTCTGTTTGGTCTGAAAGGAAAGCCAAGAATCTAGATTTTGTTAAGCTCCCTACCCAGGAAATCCTGTCTGAGATGAGCTGGTTTAGTACATACAGTCATTGATGGTGATGTTTTGATGTCCATAGATTAAGATTTTAAGTGTGATAGTGATAAAAAGAATTAAGACTAAGGTTAGTGGTATTGATCATTTTCTTGTGCTTCCTTAAAAAGAAATTTAGTGGAAAAGTTGAATTCCTGTCCATTTACATTCAAGATAACTTCTTCCAAATGTTCCTTGGAATAATAAATGTATTATGGTTTTCTGATTTCTGAACATTTCTTTCATTTATTCAGTATTTCCCACTAAACTGTTTTAACAGTGATAGACGTAAGGCTCAGAGTCTGGGGTGATCTCTGTGTGGCGTTCTCTGCAGGTATCCTGATGAAAATTAGCCCGACCTTTCAGCAGGCGCATAGTCGCGGTGGAGGTGGTGGAGCGCAGCGAGCCTTCTTGCTCCTCCTCTTCCTTCTGAGCCGGCTCCTTTGTCTCACACCACCAGGTGAGCTGCGGTCCTGGATTCTTCACTAGGAGCAGCAGCAGTTTGCCCCTTTTGCTCTGATCTCTGTGTCTTTATTGCCTGTTTCTCCTTAGGGTTCTTTCTTTCAAATGGCAGCTTGACACAGGAGTCTCGCTTCCTCTAAAAATAAAGGCTGTGGATTCTCATATCTGAGTTTCTATTCAAGGGGGTCTGTCCCTGATAAAAACTGCATTACATTTTGAAAGCTTCTCTCCCCCCACCAAAGATCTGTGAAATACTGAAAAGTGAGTTTATCTGTGTTTTTGAGATAATACTGCTATGGAATTAGGCTGCTCTGTGACTACTGATGTGCTTGATCTAGTTATAGTTTGAGGTTAGTTTAATATCTTACATGACAGAGCTTGACAGGGCAGGTTAATTGGTTAATTATAGAAATGAATGTGCTCGTTTCCTCTTTAGAGTGGTCTGCACCTCTGCTTGGTGTTGTTTGTGTTCTCCTTCCTCCAGTTTTTCCTACACGTTCACTCTGGACCCCAGCTGAGTCCCCCTGGAGAAGATGATCTTTTGACCATTTTTCCTTAGTTACATGGATTGGGCAGGGGAAGGACTGGACAGCCAGCCTCAGAGACCACAGAAAGAGCAGCCCCCACAAAGCCCACCGTAGATACTGTGCCAGTTGTCGTCATGGTGCCGTTATCTTGAATGTGGTATAAGCTGGAACAGAGAAGGGAACTGACTTGATCTGAATAAAAGCAGGGCATAATTTTATTACAGAATTTCAACCTCTTAGTACATCAGAATCTCCAAATAACCATGAGAACAAAGTCACTGCTGTGGCAATAGCTGTACATGATGTTTGACGTGATTTCATTATCAGGTTGATAATCTGCTTCTCAAACTAGCTTATTTTAGGGCCTTCTTTAAGCTCCTCTTTGTTATTCTGCTTATCAGTAAACCTAGTTCGGTACTGTCTGATATTTAAGTTTGTCTTTTAAATATTCAAGTCTACTTTTAAAAAGAAGCCTTAACATCTTTCTGTTGATTTCTTTAACATATGAGGTTTCATTGCCAGTGTGTTTAAAATGAATACTGAGTAGATGACATAATATTCCATTATACACTGAAAAAATAATTTTCCAAAATTATGTATGA